GGGTAAAGGTGCATGATCTTGAGAGAGTAAAATTTTATACATAAAATATGTTTAAGTACACCAGTAAAAAGAGAGAAAAATTTAAGGAGAATAATGTCTAGGGATTAAATTTTATCCCAAGTGAAGCTAGGGTAATGTTTACCCTCCCTTCCTATTTCTAATCAGTAGTCACTTGACCATCCATCTCTCTCTCTTGTCACACCCTTTCAACCCCTCTTACATTGAATCCTCAATTGGAATCAACTTGAAATCTGTGAGCTGCTTTACTGCTGGGTCATGTTGATCAATCTACCACCACCATTTAGATTGACACTGCTACTGCTGCTCGAGAAGGCCACCCATTTTCTTTAAGCATTGCTCTTGGGATGTCATACATGAGTCCCCCCTGTCATGTGTAGCTTCTGATGACAATAATGTTTGAATTGAGGGGGTGGGTAGTGATTTTTTTAGGTTGATAAAGAGTTTATTATTGTTAATATTTGAAGTTTACCTACCAAATATTGGAGTGAGATTTTTCTTAATTTACTCCCTTGAAATTTTATTCCCTATGCTTTTCTCCATCATGCCTTAATTGTATTCCAAATTCATCCTCAATAATAGTAATTGTAATTTTGTACTGTCAATGAAGACGACTGTTTTTAAGTTTTGGTTAGTTGTTTTGCCTCCTGCCTGTATAATTAGGGAGACTGGTTCTGTATTTTGATTTTCCTGATGCAATATTGCTCTTTGCTTTGGAGTCAACAATGTAAATCTGTCTTTTAAGCTCCTTTTTTGGGTGGGCCTGGTGGATGATACCATAGAGAACTCCCAAATAGCTCCCTAGTAGGGCCTCGGGAACTAGTGAGAATTGTGTTAGGGATCAAATCTTACCACTCCAATTCTTTCCTAGTTATCAACGACGGATGTCTTTAAGCTTTTTGTACAATAGATTACTAGGAATATTTTTAAATCATTTGTTGCATGCACTCAGTGGCAGATATTGAGTGGAATATGAAGTAATTGGTTTTGTAATTATGTTTTGCTTGGCATAATAGGTACTGCTTTCTATCTGTTCATTGCTGACTGATCCAAATCCTGATGACCCACTTGTTCCGGAAATTGCTCACATGTACAAAACTGACCGGGCCAAGTATGAGGCCACTGCACGCAGCTGGACTCAGAAGTATGCCATGGGCTGATTTGGGTTTAGATAATGTATATTGAATGGCATTTGTGAAAACTTTTGTGGGTTTGCTTTTCTCTTCCTGTTTTCTGGGGTGAGATTATGTTTCTGTTATGAGGGATAGGGAAGGGCGGTGTCTTAGTTTGATAAAAAAAATAACTATGTTCAACCACTGTGATGTTTTATCATGATGCAAACACATGAACAGGATGTTATTTGTGTCATGGCTGTGTTGTAACTTTCTATCAAGTAATGTAGAAATAGTGATATGTAACAGACCTTTCCCATGATGTTGTTTTGAACGGCTTTTTTTTCAAGAGAAATATGGTTTACGAAACTTTTTGAAAGTCTGAAAGTTAGCGATTACTTCTTCAAAGTAAACTGAATGAGACGAGGCACCATGTTTCTAATTATGTTGACTCGGTTAATATTTAGTTGGTCTACTTAGGCAACCTTGTTAGGTTTGTGGTGATGATTTATATATGTAAATATTAGGTTTACTTTTATACCACAATTGTAAAAGCATTAAAAAAGATGGACCGTGTTTTTTATCAAGGAGAATGGGATGGTTGAAAAAGTAAGCATGCTTTTAGTCAATGTTTTAAAAATGGAATAGGTAATCAAATTGGTTAGTGTTGTGTTAGGGAGTCAAAGGTTTGCATGATTTGATTTTTATTATTTTTTTATAAAAATTATTTGTCATATATTTATACTTATAAATTTTAACAAAATTCATATCATGTCTTGAAAAATTTCAATAATTATAATAAATATAATAATAAAAAGTAACTAAATTATAACTCATTGAATCATAAATTAATGTATAATTAAATATTTAATTTTAAGCAAAAAATATGATATAAGTCTTTTAAGTCAATTATATAACAATTTAGCTAGTTGGTTTAATAATTATTGAGGTGTTTAGGGTTTAAATATTTACATTTATTTTGTATATGGATTCACTTTGTAAAAAGTGCACATGTTTTGTTTTCTAAATTTAAATAAATTTTAACAATTTTTTTATACTAAATGATATTCTTCGTAAAATATTTCTTTATTAATGCATATCCTTTTAATTGCACTATTTCTTTAAATATTTATAATAAAGATAATTTATGAAAATATTATAGTATTAGTAAAATTTAATATAGATAATTAATTTTTCTTAATATGTATAAGATCAATTTTTTTCTTCTTATAATTGAGAATAGAGTATACTAATATATAATTTAAGTATAACGTAAGTATATAAATAAAATCTGGAAACAATTTAACACAAATGACATGTGGTTAAGTGATTATTCTATCTCCCCTCCAACCTCCTCATCGTTTTGTGATCAAATCTCATGTTGGGTGGTTTATTTTAAATTTTCTGTTAAACTTGGGTGAGAAAAAGGCATATGGATCACTTTAAAAATGGCCCTATTAAGAGCTTAAGCAAAATACATAGACCCAATTTAAAAAATAGGTTGTGATGGACAACTATATTTTATAAAATGAACTTATTTGATTTTTTTAAAAAATATGGATTGATTTTTTTAAAATTGGTTTGATGTGGTATAATTATATATTATATATATGAATTTATATTTTTTTAAGTCAAATCGAATTATATCAATCCACTTTATAAAAATTAGCAGGAAAAAAGACATTTCATACCTGCATTGTATTTGAAAAAAAAAATAAAAAAGAAAAAAAAAGAGAAATTACTCATAAAAATGTAGTTATTAAAAAATAAATAAAATATAAAATGGTCCATATAAAAATAGAAACTAAAAGTAGTTATTGAAAGTGATAACTTAAATTTGATTAAAAATATTTTTTTTCAATTTTTTAAAATAAAAGGGTATAATGCTCAAAAAAAGTGGAGACCAAGGTGGTTACTGAAAAGGGTATCCCCTTTATATATTAGTATAGATAAATCAGGTAATTGAATTGTTTTTATAAAAGTTCAATTTTTTTTTGAAAATGAATCAAATTTTTTAATGAGTCGATTCAATTATAAATTTGTTTAGTTATAAATTGTTTTGAATTTTTTCTAAACTCTTATTGAAAAGTTAAATATTTTTAAATAATTTAAAATTTTTAATTAGAAAGCAATGACAAAATAATCATTTAATTAATATGTCTATTTATGTATAATAAGATTATTGATTTTTTTAATGATTATTCTAAAAGTCATTTATCTAACTTTGATCTATTTTCCTTTCACCTTTATCTCTTATAGTGCAAATGATGTTGTAAAAGGAATAATGTATACAGTCTATTTTTCACACTTGACCAAATAAAAAGATGAATGATTGTAATTTATGCTAAGATGAAGAAAGTAAAGATGAAACTTAGCATTATTGTTATTCTTAATGGATACAAAGGGAAGGGACAGTTGGATCTGTGTTTCCCTACTTTTTATGGTTGGAGTTGTAATTGGTACAACTGTCTTGTGTCTTCACATACACAAAAAGAGTAGGTTGTGTTGTGTTGTGTTGTGAGTTGTGACATTCATTACCTTCTCACTCCAGCTTGGCAAAATTAAATGCCCCCCACCTCTCTCTTTTCTTCTCTGCACTTTTCATAAATAATTCTCTCCCACTCCCTCATTTCTATATAACTAGTACAGTAGGAAGCCTTGCATTTTTATTTATTCAAACAAGGTGAATATATTCAAAATTATATAATTAATTTAACATTGTTGTATCCATGAATACCTTCTTTAATCTTATTTAAGATCATTATTAGTAGTAACATGATAAATTTTGACAGTCCAACTGCTGTTAAGGTTTTGCTTTGTGTCATCATTTTATAGGTGGAAAGTTTAATGTAATAACATTATAATATCTGAATTAACATTCATTATTTTCATTTGCTTATTTTTCATGTCGTGTAATTCATTCTTTTATTAGATTAAAATTAATCTCAATTATAAATTTTACTCATACATTATAAAATGGATTCTTCTTATACAAAACAAATACTGTTGTAATAAGTCCAAACAAAACTCATCCCATACTAAAACCCCAAGATATATAATATAAATGATGTTAAAAACAAAAGATATATACTCCTATAGTCCTATAATATGCATTTAAATTCTGAAGTCCAGTTCATCCTTGATATACCAGAGATCAGAAACCGCGTGCTGGTTGATTCACTAGCCAGAATCAATGATTTAAACCTGAACATCATGGCCACAATCACCATGCAAATTTCTTTGTTAAATTCTTTGGAAACAGACGTGGCAAGCACTTTCCATTTGTATAATTAGTACTACAACTTTGCTTTTAATAATTATACCATGTGACACCCATTGATACGGATATAAACTCGATCAGACTATTTTTTCTTCTTGTCTCAATCTGATATATTCTTATTGTATATGTAAACCATTGTAGACCCTAACATGATTAGTTGATATAGTAATTAAGTATGATGCACTTATATATTATAAAAATAATTTATTTGATAAGAAATTTGTGTTAATCTTTTTGTTGTATGCAAAATTTATCGAATCAACAAAAGTCAGAATATTGCGACGAAATTAGTTTATAGTTCAATAAACTAATAAGTGTGAAGAAGAAAAAAAAAAGTTTAATAATAATACATTGAAAGTATAAACATTATTATATAATTATTCAACTGTCAATGTCTCAATGATAACTAAGTTAACTTTTATAATAACTATTTATAAAATCATATATTTTGTGATCAGCTGGTAAAACTTTTTTTATACTTTATGAGAGTTCATCACGATTAAACTTGAAAAAAGAAAATCTTAGGTTGTAGCTGGCTATTCTGATTTTTGACATTCTAAATTAAAACTGTTTAATTAAACAAGGCTTTGAAAGAATCTGAGGTTCGAATAGATCTTTCTGTCAGTGATAGAGATTTGTTTAACGTTATCCATTACAAGGCAACATTATTCCTTTTTAACTTTATCATAAGAAGATCTTGACAGGTGTATAATTTATATTGCAGAATATAGATATATAGACACGCAAATACAATTTTTTTTTAAAATTAAAATATAGATCTTTTTCAGAATATGTAAATTAATCTTATCCCTGTTGTATTATGTAATTGTTACACAGACTTCACTTGTTAGTTGATATGTGGTAGCTGTATTGTTCATTTAAGGGTGTCTCTATTTGTCATAGATATTTTTATTTACAGAATACATTTTTTATTAGAGATAATATATTTAAGTTGGATATGAATATTATGATAATAAATATTTTTGTCAAATATTTAATATAACTCTATATTTAAAATTTGAATTCAAAATGATTAATTAAATTAAAATAATTCTCATTAGAAGTTAATCCACTTGCTCATAGCAATTTTTCTTAATATTTTACTTGTGATATATAATGGAATAGGCGTGAAAAGGATATAATTTAGATTTGAGAAATTACTTTTAGAAGAGTTCATATTTAAAAAATTAGTTAATATTTAAGATTAATCCGAATATTTTAGTTTGCGTATTTCAAAGATTAGATATTTGTATATATAATTAAATGTTATAATAAGTTATATATACAAATAAATATTATATTAAATATGTTCATGTAAATTATATTTAAAATTTGTATCTATAAATATTTTAAATATTGATATTATATTTTATATTTTAGATAAATAATTTTTGTTTTGGTTACTTTCAGATAAATAATTTATATTATGGTATAAAATTATTTTTTTTGA